TATAGGTCGAGCATATATAGTGTGATTGAATACAAGTTTTTTATTTGCAGCTCCTCTCTTGTACGTACTGAGACTTCAAGTGTTGCTCAAAGCTCAATATAATATTCCATTGACTACGAAACTCTTGTAAACATATTTCCACCAGTATTACGTTTCGCTATATTGTATTATGATGGGTAAAGATTGAACATTATTACTAGTGGTGCACCTTTGAAAATTTTTTCATCAACACCATCCTAATGTATAACTTTTCTGTTTTATAATCGTGTTTAAATCCTTCAAATAAGGGAAAACATTTTTTTTTGAAAGAAATTTTAAAAAGAAAAATTAAGCAGAACCAATGATAGCATCCTATTTTTCTAAACACTTTAAGTCACACACATATTTAAACACATTCATGCGTTCGTATGTTCAAGAATATACGCACATATTATGATTATATAAGTACAGCAATAATAAACATATGAATTTTTTTTAAGTATATTAGAAATTTTCTATTATTATTACTTTTATGACGTTTTATTCTTAGCTTGAATGGAAACAATCACTGAATTTGACTCTTTTTCTCTCATATGATAATCAGTATGTTTAAATGTTATTGGAATAACTTGCTTTGCTTTCGTAATTTTCTTGTTTTTTGTTATTATATTCATTATTCGGTCACACCATGTTCTACGATTTCGATCTTTTTTTATTCGGAGACTTAGGTTTGTTTCCTATAATATTCTCTGAATTCTGTTTCCTCTATTTTCTCTAAAAATGGGTATAACAGCTTTGAATTTTTGGGATAGTTTGTTTTGACATTTAAGCTTTTTATGACATTGGATCTCATCCAAAAACTGTTGATGAAATTGAAATTGATAGATGGCTTAAAATTTTCGCTCCGAGCCGATATTGAATTTATATTGGCTGTAAATTGAAGTATAAGTGTATTTCCCATACACCTATACCTCTCTCTAGAAAACTTCAAATTTTCTTCTTTCTCTCCACTCGTTCTCGCTCTTTTTCTCTACCATTTTATATTTTAATGTTACTGATACAAATTTTTTTTCTTCAGAATTAAATAAAATTTTTCCAAAAAGGAAACAAAAACAATTTTTTTTCTAATATAAAATAAAAATTTTAAGGATATGAATATAATATAGAAAGGATATCATATTGTATATCACATAAAACTTAAGTGTTGTATATGAGATTTAATAATAATTTTTTCGTATTAAAGAGAAAAAGAAAAAAAGAAAAAATTTATTACTCCAATTCAGAAGTGCTTTAGTTTGTTCGAGTGCTTTGTGTTTTTTGCTGTTTTTTAACAAGTGTTCCCATATTTTTCTTTTTTTGAATATTGTTATCATGTTTTTTCTATAACCCTTCTGAAGCTATTGGAAAATCTTGATATAAAGAATGATTTTAAATGAAAATATTTATTTTTTTTTTTGCATTATTGTTGTTTTTTTCTTATACAGTATAAAAATATACAAAGAGATAAAATTTTAAAAGAAAATTTTGATTAATTTGACAAATTTGATTTCTATAAATTGAGTATGTAGGTTATCCTTTAATATGGGATAAAAAAAATTAGGTTGAATCGTTATAGGTTTTATCAAAAAGATCTTGTACTTAAATGTTCGGTTAAAAATAAATTATTGTACAGATTTCAAGCAAAATTATTATCACTTTGGTATAGACAACAGAATATCACAAAATATTATGTGACAGTAAAGTTATATAACACATACCATATTGTGGCAATCGATAATTACACGTGAAATTAAGTTGTTCGAAAAATTAAATGAAGTGTCGCCCGAACTGGCGACTTCTTGATTTTGTCTTCCATGTTAAAGCAGATTATTTTTTGAATTAACTCAAATGGTGCTCGAGTTGCCGAATTTCGCCTTTTCTACCGTTTATACAAAAATACGCTTTTTTTAAATGAACTCAAATGGCGTTCAAACTTGTGATCTTCCTCTTTTCACTTTCTACATAAAAATACGTTATTTTTTTTAAATTAACTGTAGTGGCGCCCGAATTGGCAACCTTTGTTTTTTTTACCGTTTACATAAAAATTAATTTTTCTTTTAAATTAACTCAAATGGCGCCTGAACTGCTGACCTTCGCTTTTCTATTAATTTAAATAAAATTAAAAAATATTTTTAAAAACTTCATAGAACTTATTAATTTTTTTTTGAGAAGGAAAATCAAAATCACAGTAAAATTAACCTCAAATTAAATAACTTTTTTTTGGGTAATTCTAATTTAATTACCAATTTCCAAATATCCTAACTTTCAATCTATACAATTTTCATAACAAAATATCACCAACAGAATCTAATCTAAATTTAATTTACTCATAAAGAACAAGAAAATAATAAGAGCAGCAGGAGCCAAGGATACACCAAAAAATATTTTGATCCTTACCACAAATTTTATTATTATTTTTTTATTGTGTTTTCTTGTTTGTTTCCTATAAATTAAATTTTCTGCTAAATTAAAAACTTAATTTAATTTTTCCGACAGAAAATTTTCTCTACTCATTCCATCCACTCTTAAGAATCAAAATGACTGTTGCCCATAATTTCATCATAAAATTATTATTGAAGTGTTAAAGAAAATTTTTTGGAAATTTCCAGAAATTTTTTCTTTTTTTCCGGATTTCTGTTTTCTCTTTGAAATTAATACAGAGAGGACTTCTTATTTCCGGAATTCATAGAAAATGAAATTGTTGTTTGTTTTTTTTTTTATCTTGGATTTTCTTATTAAATTAATTTTGGATAATTTTTTCTTGGTATTTTAGAACATTTTTTGTTTTTTTTTTTTTAATTTTTTATTTTTTGTAATTTATTTAAAGAAATCATATTAAAATATTTTTGAAGCTTCCTCTTATATCGCAAAATAAAAAATAAAAAAGTTTTCAATATTGTTGTTGAAAAATTTTCTATTCCTAATATAGAAATTACCGTTTGGCACATGGAAGTGTTAAAAAGTTGATTACAAGAAGCCTAAAGGAAAACAACAATGATATTAGAAAATAAAATAAAATTTTAAATAAATTCTAGTTGAAAAAACTTGTCTAATTTGAAAATTTTTTAATTTTCTGCTTATTTTTGTAAATAATAGAAAACATTAGGCATGAAAATTTGAATTAATTTTAAAATGACTTGAGAACATTGAAAATTAAATTTTTAAAGAAATTCATTAAAATTCATTTGACTATACAAAATATGAATATGTAAACAAGCATGGTAATTTAATTTTTATAGTCACATATTTTAAAATTTAAAATGAAAATTAATTCAAATTTTAGTAAAATCTTATGCTTCAAATATTAGTAAAACTCGATTTTGTTTCTGAAATTTTTAAATGAATTGTGGTACTCTTTAGAGAAACCCTTAAATTGCCCCACGCTGAATACAAGATTTTAAAAAGGGATTGAAGAAAAAGGCCCAATGGTCTCTCTTAGTGCGGCAAGAATGTCTTGCATTGTTTCGCTTCATTACTTATATACAATTGTAAGCGTATAGGTGTAGTAAAATTCATTCGCATTAGAAAATAATTGTTTATTCTTACAATCCTTACATTGACACACGATGAATACCCGGTTTAATAGAAGGATCGGAGAAAAAGACACAATGGTCCCTTTTAGGGCGCCAGGAATGCTTTACATGGCTTCACCTTATACCTGAAATACAATTATAAACAAAGGTACAGCAAATTTCATTCACATTAGAAAACAATTTTCTGTTCTTATTAAAACTAAATACGACACTAATCCGCTTTCTATGGAACACCAAAACTATGGAATAAAGTCTTAGAAATTATTCCTAATATAATTTGCTTTTACTTTTAAAAATAATTAAAAATTTTAAACTGCCTAAATAACTATATTATTAAAAAAAAATATTAGAAAAAAAAGTCACATAGTGAAAACAATTAACGAAATAAATGAATTCCACTAAATAAAAGAATAGGAAAGAATACCTGATTCACCTATGAATTAGAAATTAATTTTTTTTTCACTTTACTCTAAATTACCATAATTCGCCACAACGAGCCTATACAATGTATTTCTATTTGAAAAACAAATGGGTGTGGAGCATAAACTTCCTATGTTTTACATAAAACAAAAAATCGGAACATTATTGAAATTTTTTCAACATTTACACATACTCAACTCATATAACCTTACATATTACAACAAAATATTACATCGACGTCACATACATACAAAGTAATCAAAATACAAAATTTCCAGTAATTAAAACTGTTAAGTTGTACAAATTAATTCAGGGAATGCCGCAACTACTTCATCTAATACTTGGAAAATGTTTTTGTTTCTTAGTTTTTTTGGCTTTTAAATTTTGTTTTTGAATTTTTTTCAAATTCAACCTTTACATTCCAATGACGACACAAACTATTGAGTCACCTATACACATATGTATTTACATAAAGTGAAAAACAAAACTCACCTACACTGTGTGGTATGCTAATAACCATATGTGCCTACTTCTATTTCTCTCGTCTGTTTTGTAACATTGTTGTACACCTGTTTCTTTATTTGGTAGTGTGAAAATATGTAAACTGCATGCAAAATCAAAAATTATTTTTATTACAGTTATTAATTTACATATAAAATTGATTTTAATATTTTATAATATTTAATTTTTTTTTTATTAAATATTCAAATAATATAGACAGTAAAATATGATTGATGAAATGTTAGTGTGTTTAAATAAATTTTAATAATATTTTTATTGTCATACAGGAGTATGTATAATGCTGAATTGAGAATTTTAGTTGTGTTAAATGATGTCGAAAATAATAATTGTAATATTTCAAACGCAGAATAAAACATATGCAATGTAACGGTTTTAAACGAGCATCAAAAGGAACTTCAAGAGGAGCAGTCTCTTAACTATGTTGGACAGTTGCGTTGTTTTTGCGGCTCTCTAATCTGAGGTAGTTGAATCCAAATAAGTGGATGTGTTGATGTCCTAATCTTAACAATGAGGTAACTTAGATGTACATATCGGGACATAACGGCATAAACGAGTGCCGAGAACAACGATATTGTGCACGTTAAATGGTTGAAAGAATCGCCACGGTCGATCATTGGAACCTTTCTCATTCCCAAAAATTTTTGTCTCCCTTATGGACGAGAAGGAGGGAACTAGCCACAGTTAGTCCTCCAGGTGTGATGGCTGCAAATTCTTTCTAAATCATTGTGATTCTGAAAGATTATTATCAAAATCATGTGTACATACATAAGAGTACAAATACTTTTCATCAAAACAAAACACTGCTTAAGTTTAACCCTGTTGTATTAATATTAAAAATAGTTTCAAAATTTTATGTGTTGTCAGAATTAGTTCAATTTTTCTCTCATTATTTATTGTTATATTATTATAAATTTGAATTACAACGGTAATAGACTACAATGTGTATTGGTATGACATAACAAACTTTTGGTATGGGAGAGCGAATATAATGAATGCGAATTATAGCGAAAATAACCAAATTTATTATTTTCGGGGTTATCTAAAAAAAAAAAAAATTAAAAAAAAGAAACTATCGAATAGGCTTAAAATAAATTTTCGGAATTTCAAAATTTATAGTGAAAGAAGAAAATAAATTTTATAAATTATTTAGAAGTTTGATTTAACTCTAGGATATTTGATCAATTCGAGCCCAATCAATATTCTAACTTATATTTTTTACAATAAAAAAAAACAACAATTTACAATTCCTTTTTATTTTTAATTTATTACTTAGGAGTTATAACATAGCTGCCAGAGAAACTTTATTCATATTCCCAATTAAGAAAGTTTCGGATTATCGTCACCATTACAGTATCATCGTAATGTAGGGGTTAAGGTGTTCGATGCGTTCAAATGTTCGAAGTATTTACAGACGACTAGTAAGTGTTTGTTGTTCGGTGCTATATGCACGATTAAAACTAAAAAATAAGTTCTAAGTTCGAAAACTGTTCTGAGATGAGTGGAACCCAAAGACTATATACTCCTTTACTAATAGAGAATTCGTCCCTTCCTCAAAGTTGTATCATTTATTCAAAGATTTTTTTTCAATATTCCTCGAGAATATCACATAAAATTATTACAGAGTTGTCATAACAAAATGAGACCCAAAGTCATTATACCAAGACTGATAATACACAATTTAATTTCACCATATATAAGGCAAAGCAATTAGTTTTGAACGTCACTCAGGTGAATATTCGGTAATTTAATAATATAAAATATGTGCATCATGTCGTATACATACCAAACATGTTGTTGTGTCGGTTTGCTTCACACTGTTTTTGTACTTGTTTGATAATAAAATTTTAGGCATACACACGCCATACGTGACATTTTTTTATAAACAGATTCACAATGCTAACAAAAAAAGTGATTGTTTAGCTGATTAAAAGTAAATTGTAATTTAATTGAGTTATTTATTTAAAATAATAAAACTTGAGCAAAGTAAATGAGCAAAATAGAAATCCAAGCATATTTATAAAAATTGAAATTGATAGCATGTTTTGCATCAATATTTTATTTTTTAAGTATGCTATTAATATTTTTGTGCAACTAATATGCAATATTATTTATAATAGTTTTAAAGGTTTCTTTACCATATTACCAATGCTATATATTGTATATAAAATTTGTTCAGGGAATTTATAGGATTAATAGTGCTCGTACTAAGAATTTGTAATTATTTTAGTGACTGCTTATTGAAAAGTGAATAGTGAAGAGTAAAATTAAAAACGAAAATAATAAATTTGTTTTTTCGTAAAAGAAAAAAATTCGGTCAGTGTCTTGACCTTTAAACAGTTTTATAAACAGTCTGTGTCTAGATTTAATATTATTTTAAGTAGGTAAAAGTATAAAAATGGTTAACAAAATTTTAATTAAATCAGTTTAATTATAACCCGATTACACGTAACAAGATAGAGCAAAAAATTAAATTAAAAATTTAAAAAAAAAAATTAAAATGTTCAAATTAATATCAATAATTTTTGCCTTAAATTTTTATTCACAAATAATTGTCGCTGAACCACCACGTTCAAACGGATATCAAATTGACCGGCCTAGTCAACCATTTTTCCTTCCCGTAAAATCCAGTTTTCGGACTTCTCCAACTAATGGCAGACTAAGATATAATTTACCATCACGTAATTATGGTTCACCCCAAGCACCACCCTCTCCTAATTTTGCAACAGATTCTAGTGATTTAGGATTACAATTACCAGCTGCACCAACAACATTGAGACCAGAATATTCTGCTGAAATTCAAAATTCAGCTGAAACATTTGAAGATAATCGAAATGGTGGGGCTGAATTGGGACGTTTAACTGATTCAAGAAAACCACAAAGTGCTAAACAACAAGTTGAACAGCAACAACCACAGATTGCAATTCAACTTGGAATTCCGCAAGTTCAAAATGGATTTGCCCATGCTCTAGCTGTTTATAATCCATCAGCTCAACAACAACAACAACAATTAGTTACTCAATATCAAACAACTCCACAATTAGTTTTGGAACAACAACCTTTAGTTGCAGAACAAACAATAACTGCTACAGCACAGCCAACATTAGTAGCTCAACCAACATTAATCGGATCACAACCATTATTAGCTAGACAAACACTTTTTGCACAACAACCTTTAGTTGCTCAACAACCGTTAATTGCTCAATATCCCCAGCTAACATCAGGTCAACTTGTTGCTCAATATCGTGTTGCTCCTGTACAACAACAAGTATTTGGTAATTTACAAACCCATGCTATTCTAAATCCACAACAATATGTTCAAATTCAACCTGCTGCAGCACTACAAACTGTACAGCCGATTGTACCAGCAGCAGTACCAGAAACTAATATTCAACAAACGAGAATACAATCTCAACCAATTATTCAAGCAGTAGTTGGTAGATTACCAAGTGGAGAACCATTTGCACGTGCAAAAACAGGAAAATTACAAGCTCAACCAATTTCTAGTCAACAATATCAAATTCAATCAAATCAAATTTTAGGTAAATATCAAAACATTTTAGCACGTCAAGTTGCTGAAGCTCCAGCACAACAAGATGATCAACAAGTAGAACAACAACCTGGTTTTGCATATGCCGCTATAGGTTTTTAAATGAGAGAAAAGGCATTATTTTTTGGGCATTATTAGAAGTGTTTGAATATCCTTTGTGATAAATTAAAATTTAGGGCTTAATTTTAACAATTAATATAAAAAAAATTATTATAGTTTTGCTCTTATCTTTGTTATTTTTAAAACATCATTGTTGTTTAATTCATTTTTAAATATTAAATGATTTTATAATATTTTGCCAATTTAAAATTATTTTCGAAATAGATTTAAAAGTGTTATAAATAAAATAAGAACCATTGTAATACTAAATTTGGTGTTTTTTAAATTTAAAACAATGCTATTATTTTGAATACTCAATTGCTATACTGAACAATTGCTGAGCTGAATTGATGTCGAATCTACAGAATAAGTTAAAATATTCAAAATTTAATTTGAACTAAACTATTGGCTATGGTGGAATCATGAAATTTTAAGCCTGCTCAAGAAATTAGGAGAATATCGAATAACCAAGCTTTATAATTTTAAGACATTTGATGCTATAGACCATACAATACTGCTTGAACTTGGTAAAATGGATAAGGAGCATGAATAATTTAGGAACTACTTGTCAAATAGAATGCAGTAAGAGGAGTGTGATAGTGTTGGAAGTAAGGATGATAATATTAGTTTTGGTGTAATACAGGCAAGCAATTTAGAACCAAACCTTTTCTCTCGTTACATCAGCAACCTTTTAAATCTAAAGCTACATGAGAAATCACTTGTGTCGGCAGATGGCCTTAGGAAATCTCTATGGATATAAGGTAATAACATAAACTGCAAGGATTCACATGGAACACAACATTCTGATATTGAAACTTCTCATAAAAAGTGGGATGGTAATGCACGTACATTTCACCACACCAAATAGTATGAACAGCAAGGCTAATATTACGTTGTATACAGTAAACTTTAATGGGTTCGATACAAACAATGGGTACAATTTAGCATACAAATACTATAATGAATCTTCTACTGATATAAAAAAATTTAATAATGTTTACAAATATAAAAAGCAAATTAGTGAATTTTATTTAGGTATAGATTGGAGTGAATTGCTCTAATTTTGTGAATCCAAGTAATATTCTGCTTACTTTTGTAAAATAATTTAATATTTTTTCGTAATTGTTGTGAACTGAAGTTCCACGGTTTTAAAATATACTTTTCTTAATTGAATTACTAAGCTTATATGAAACAATATACGCTATTTTAAACTAATATAAACATTATGTACCCAGTCTCAGCGACGACTGGGCTCATTTGTGATAAATTTAGATGATTTGGTCAGTTAACGAGTCGTCATTGTTTTAGGCCCATTGTATAATCTCATTTAGCTCTTCAAGAGTTTCCAATATCCGCAATTTTTGTGTTCTCTCGGTTGAGAAGATCATAGAATTGAGTATTTACTAGAGCAGGTTTCTACTATATTTTAAACTTAATCCTCTCATCCTTTAAACTAAAGTAAATAAAATTTATAATTGAGAATTTAATTTCTACATTTTATTAAACTACACCATATTAAAATTCAGGGTTCTAAACCTCTAATAATTCTTATATAATTGCCCTTTAATGCGTGAACTTTAAATTTTATATAAGTACTTTTTGTTTGAATTTCAAAAAATCAAAAAAACAAAATAGCGTGTTTCGATAATTAGAATTTTTTGTTGCATTAAAAAAGTTTTTTTTTAATTCAAAAAAAAAATTTGTTGTGCTCTGATTTTTAAAATTTCGCTATAGAAAAAATATTCAAAAGTTTTTCCTTTTTTTTTTATTATGAATAATTAAAAAGAAGAAAAAAAATAAATTTTTTAACCCTTACATTCATTATTCAAGGCATAGCTACTTCATTAAAAATTTAAAAATGGAATTTAAGAGAGAAAAAAAAACGAAAAAAAGGAGAAGAGAAAGAGAAAATAACAGAGAAAATTAACTGTAAAATTAAAATTAACTTTTAATGCGTATAACAAAAAGTTATCCGAAAGTTTTTTTCCTGTTCAAGTAAAGAACGGATTTCCAGTATTTTCATGTGCATAATGACGACAGGGGTAACAATGACTGCAATTCTTTATTAGGACAAAAGTTAATTTTTTTTTCTTGAATACAAATAACTGTTTTTTTTCTGCCTTATTGTAAAGAGGTCAAATTACTGATTTTGTCTTAAGAGGATTATAATTTTAATAAAACATAATAGTTACACGTTCCTATACTAAAAAATCCTTATGTTATCGTGAAGTTGTGTAAGAATTATAAATATATTTTAATATAGAGTAAAGTGTGTGTATATTAAACGCATTTTAAGGATATTTTTTTAGTTTTGTACTCAAAAGTTTTCAAAATGAATGAAATATAGGAAATTATTATTGCACTTCTAGTGTCCCCTTTGAACTGGAACATTTTCATTTCTATTCTTGTTTAATTCTCCTTTCCTTTCCTGTTTTCTCGATTTTCTTTGCCTTTATTAGTACTTAACTTATATATTTTCACTTTTATATTACATTGGTCTTTTGTAATATAATACTTTGACCACGTATACAAACAATAATTGTAACATTTTGTTATATGGGCCCCTTTATAACATTATACGAAGTGGATAACGAGAGCGATAAAGAATAACAAATTTATGCTAGATGAGTGTAATGGGGAACAGAGGGAGCAGGAATAACTATACACGGACTATGTGTTTAATATCTTTCAATTTCAAGCGTGTTTGAAGTAAGTGTTTTTTTGAAAATCAACTATCCAAAAAATCGAAATAAAATATTTTTGTTTGAAATTGAAAATTTGATATCCTAGACTTTATTGTTGCCATATTTATTTACTTTCATTTACTGTTTATTTGTGTATAAACTGTGTTAGTAATATAATATATGTAGTCGTATTCATGTATTCAAAATTTGTTTTCAAAAATAATTTATGGAAAACTCATTTTCATGAAGTTTTGTAAGGGCAGTATACGCCTTTCTGTGGAATTGGAGAACATACTGTTCGTTGAAAGCTAAGAAAGCAATCATAAAGAAGGTTCTTAAAAAATTCAAAAAAAACTTCCAATGGGAAGGCCAAGGAGTTTCTGAGAAGTTATAATTAGAAGCGAATTAAGCAAATTATAGGGTTGGGCAAGAATCAGGTGAGAATTCTCCCCGAATCATTGTAGCTTTAGAAGGCATTTCAGTAGTCTGGGACTGGAAAGTGAAAAAATTTGCATATTCTGTGGGGAATATGGAAAGAATTCAGTACACCTTTTGGTTATTGAATTCTTCTCATGAAGAGAGTGTGTTGCTCTCGTTCTCTGGAGAAAAGAAATACTATGATGAAATTTGCTCTTACGGCAGCGGAGTTGCGGTTGTCTGCGATCACTATTTTCTCTTTTATTCCAAAATATTCATTTATTAATTGAAAAAATATAAAATTTAAAAATTACTACTGCGAAGATTTTAAAAACATTTAAGGACTTATAAAATGCGTTTGTATAAACTTACAGAATTCCATGAAATAGCTCTGCCAAAAATTCCATAAAGCATTCATTCATTCTATGGATAAAATTCACTAATATTATAACTTGTGCGATAAAATTAAAGTTGTGCCCCACAACTTATGAAGACATAACTCGTATGTGTTATCCCTTCATGTAAAATATGTAAAAATATTACGAAAATGCCTTTAATTCATTTTTCTCATTTCTCCATTCATATTAAAGGATAATAATAATTGGAAATATGATAAGGATAATAGATTATAAATAGGCTGCATTAGTATTAAACATGTTTAAACATTAAGTGAAAAAAAAAACATAAAAGAACAAAATATAATAATTCTGAATGACAATAATTCGTTTATGTGTATAATATTGATTTATTGTGTGTGAGTTGTTGTTTGCGTAGTAAAGTGAATTTTTAGGTTATGTTACAAGTCAAATTGATTGATGAGTGTATATATGAGGTGTTTTGTGTTCTCTTTATTTTATTTGTTATTTATTTTCACTATGTTTACATTGAAGAATGTAATCTGTTAAATCTGACATTTTGTTGTAGGTAAGCTTTAACTTAAAAGTGTGTAGAATTAAGGGAATAAAACTCTAGAAAATTATGAATGTGTTAAAGCAAAAAAGTGGAAAAATTATGAAATATATATAGAGGAAAGATAATGATAGTTAAGAATTCAAATTATTACCTATTTTAATAACATAATGAAAAAGGATTGAAAAAGTAAAGAAGTATAACAAAAAGGATATAAGGAATTCATGTAAGTATATTTTTGGAAAACGTTATTTGAGTATAATTTTAATTGGAAATATGAAACTTATCCACACACTAATGAGTTGATTTTTTATCTTTATACTTGTATGTTTGTATAATATTATAATTATATTTGAAGTGATAAATTAGTTAGAAAATTAATTTTTTGTAAACCAACCATATACACAAATTTAACACATACATTTGCCTCATTATAATTGTAATGCATATATTATGGAATTGGTAATAATTATAATTTAATCCCAAATTAACTTGTTTGTTAAATTTTGTATATAATTAATTAAGTTAATTTAATTATAACATTAAATTCAATAAGGAATTAAAGTATAATTATAAATTACAAAAATGTATAGATTCTTGTTGTAATTAATATATATAAAATATTGAATTCAGAGTAATTAACCGTTACAAAAAATATCACACTCAAATAAACATGGAGAGTGATTTTCTATCCCCAAAAATGCCCGAAAAATATGTACATGTCATTGACAATTTCAAACACATAGCATACTGGTTTACTCTTTTGAACGTGGTAGGTCATATATTGTCAACAAAACTATCAAAGTCAGGCTTCAAATGATAACCTCCTGCTGTTCATTGTAGTGGATGGTATACAAGACAAAAATAAGACCACAATTTAAGACCTTCTACAGCAAAATCTACGTGTTGTGGAAAATTGGTGCAGATAAATGTAGTTAGATATAAATGTTAGTAAAAGCACCTTGATTGGCTTCAACACACGTAGAAACAAGGATATATTGAAGATCCCATTTCTTTTTGGTGAACGTATTGGCTATTCTAAAAAGGTTCGTTAGCAAAAACTGGGACATCAGTCATAGGATAGCCTCGTGGCTATACAGGGTTCTTGCTAGGCCTATCGTCACCTACGCATCGCGCAGTGAACAGGTACTGTTACAGAAGCTTTAGTTTTTGGCCTGAATAAGAGTAATGCGCTGTAGGGAATAATTCACACCTCCATATAGGGAAGAAAGCTCGACTAACCGATTTTTCTTTGGCATGAACGAGGACTTATGAGACTTCAAAGATTTAAATCTGGGAGTAGCATGTCGGATACGTGAGTTGGATTCAAGCGTGTGGTACGCGGAAGGATCGAAGCCGGAATCGGATGTGAGTTGGAGAGTAAATGTTGTACGCGCGTGTACGCGAGCCTGGACCTGTATTATATGGCATTGAAGGCCGAAATGCATGCAACAGAAATATGTCTAAGAGTCAACTTAGGAACTGGGTATAAAAATTGTGCTATATATGTATTTCCGGATGTATTAAGAGCTGCCTTACTGCATTTGTGGAATTGGCAACTGCAGATAAAGTCACGTTCATTTGGTGTCTCGAAAGGGAAGGAACCGAAATGAAACAAATGAACAAAAGTATTTGGTTTTCAGTGTGCTTGGTTCAAATTTTTAGCAGATAAACTTCCCAAATTTTTAATATAAAGATAAACGCGGTGTTCTCCAATCTAACATATTCAATGATTCCGAAACTTTTTTATGCCTTTCTATAGTTTCCTTTTTTTAGTTCACCAATATTATGTTACAAACTTTTTCTCTACTTTTCATTTTTGTTTATTATCATCCTAGTTTTGCTTATTTTTACTTTTTTAACTTAACAACTTTGTAATTAGCTTCATTATATATAAAAAAACTTGTTATTATTAAATTTTCTAAACTACTTAAAATTCTTTAAGCAACAAAAATTAAAAATTTACTTTAAATTTTTTGTAATCAGGATATTGACCTTCCAAATATTCTGGTACTATGTATAACATACTGGATATAATTTGAATGGAATATAAGAAAGAATTTCTTTTATATAAAAACCCCAAAATTTTTATGCACTGTTAAAAAATTCAAATTAAATGTCTAAAACTAGTTAGAATTTCTAAGGAAAACTTTTTATATATCGTAGAACTTCAATGTAGAAAATTATTTTAATATCCTTTTTTTTTCTTTTACATCTCTTTACAAAGATTTTGTGGCTATGGCTATGTTTTCTTGGAAAATTGTATAATTTTTATAATAACAGCAGATTTTGTTGAAATTTTCTCAATTTCCATAATTTAGGAAGATAGCATTTTAGTTACGGTTGCTGTACAAAAAATTTTATATACATATGTATGTATTTTTCATTTGCATATTTTAAAGCAATTTGGCCAAATATTGTTTTCAAACTTTTGTTAAAGAATAAGTTGTGACGAATAAAATCAATAAAAACCAAGATAATTCTAGTTATATTTAACAATAAATTTTGGTAAAGAATCCATAGCAAATTGTATATTGTAATCAAGATCAGGTTTTGTATTGTTCTACTGAACTAATTTCGAGGTTTTTTTTAATTTAAACAACAATTGAGGATGCTTTACATTTGGATCAAATTGAAAATGGAATACTGTACTGCTGTCATGGGATACTGTACGAGAATTATGAATAATAACTATTTTATGATATTTGAGATGGAAGATTTTCGGAAATAGTTATAAACAGATAAATTTAGCTACGGAAAAGGAATTTAGTAGGTTGTAGTTATACCACAAAATCTGCAACTGCCGTCACTTCCTACGTCCAGCCCCCTAAGGTCAACAATACCCTGTCAAGATGTCGGTGAGAATTCTCAACTGATCCTATGTTCTTTTTAAAACGCTTCTGGTCGTAGTCTCTCAAAAATATTTTAAGTTATCGAACCACTGGAAGACACTCTCCACAGCGCTCTAAACTCTGCTTTTCCCGTGTTTCTTCCTTAATTTTCCAGTGTGCAATCCGATTTCGTAGAAATACTCCTGGTCAAGAGGAATAGCGTCACTACCTTCGTCGCCAATGCATCGTCAGCGTGTTGTTAGTTAAGCTTAGGTGTTGCAGCAATGTTATTAGTTAAAATTGGGTAAATTATATTTCCATAGCAGAATTTTATTTTTAACCCTTAAGTAACGAGCGAAATTGCTGACCCCTGAAAATATGCAATTTTTAATTTAATATCAAAAGTAAATTAGAGCAAAATTCAGTGTTCTCGAGTAATCAAACAACAATTTTATTTAATTTTATTATTTATTTTACATTTATCATCGCTTTACTTACGAAATAAAAAGTAATTTATGAATTTGAAATCAAAGAATTTCCAAAAAGCTTTTTAATTTTCTAACCTTACAGACCAATTCTATACTTAACACTTTATTTCAAAACTTCACTAAAATTAATTTTATTATTCACTTAATCAAATCTTTGTCACTTATTTTTATTAAGTTTTCTATTATTTTAATAAATTTTTGCTCAGATGTAAGAAATTTCATGGCATTTTATTTTAAATTAATTTAGAATTTTTTGTATAAAAACTGTGAAATTTCTAATAAAATTCTATAGTCTAAAACTATTTTAAGAACTAATAATAAAAGTATAAAACAAGAACCAAAAAAGAAAAAATAAAAGAAACCCCCTTTTAATTACTTTAATTACCTTAAATTTACAGTTATTCTTATAAAGTAGAACAATAGTCCAAATATAACAAATGTTTCTACAATAATAAAATTTTCTTTCTCAGGATCTACAATTTAATTTTTATTACTTATTCCTTATAATTCTGACATAAAACAAAAAAAAACTATGTGATTCTCTTAAATTTCTATAAAGCTAAATTGACTTTAAATGGCATTATTTCACTTTTATTAAAATAAAAAAGGACTCTTCCATAATAATATTTCTATGTATTCCACTAAGAATATTATAGAGAAAAAAATTTGAAAATTATATTACACTTCATTTTGACTATTAAAAACAGTTCAAAAAGTCAACACTGTATGTTTTATATTCCTATTAATATTGATAACGGACTATAGTTACATGTTAACTTAAATTTAATTCTAAAAAATTATTTTCATATGGGTTGATCGAAAAATAAGTGGAAAATTTTGTTTTTTTTTTGCACTCCATCCGAAAAATGTCTAAATACTTAAGATTTATTCTACCGCTTCTTACAATTTATTAAATTTATTAAAAAATATCGAGGGGCCAATTAGGGAAGTTGCTGTTTTCTTCTTACAAAAACGTTACGTAAATATTAAGGCAACTGTTAGGAGTAGCTATGGCCGGTGAGAACTAAGGCAGTTAGATCAGCTCTTTATCTCACAACAGACATATGGAAAAAGCCGTGATGATAAAAGAAAGTAGTTTGCGTTTAATGGCCGGAGAGTGAAATTAAAGATCTGATTTCATTCCTTCACCTTACAAACAAAATCTAAGTAGTATTCAACCGAGATAAGCGACAAAGAATTTCATAAAAATAGTATTTTGCAGTGGTTTTCTTTGAGCTTATGTAAACACAATCACTTTAACCAATCATTTACCATACCAATTAAGGACTACCAAATAAATAACGCTTAAAAGATTTTAAAATGTTTGTATAGGTAATAGGCCCGGCGTTGCTGGCGCTCCAATCGGTTCAAGTCACATCCAAGGCGATGGAGTTGTGCCTTGTGTTCTGATTGAGGGTGAGTCCAATCCTCAGTAGGATTCTACTATGGAATGCGAAGCTGTTTCTTCCATCTTGCTCAAGGATTTTCTCTCTAGAGCTGCTGAGAACGAATCGAAATCGGGTAAGCATTATGCCTGGCTTCTTCACTGGGTATTGTCTAGTGAAATGTCATTAGCATGAATTAGGAAAATTTGACTTCGTTTTGTGTAGGTTCGGTGGTGAGGAGACTGTCACTGTAACTCTGTTCTGTTCCGGTTGTTAAGAAAGCTTGTATGGATTGGACTTTCTCGGTGTTGAGAAACTCATCTGCACCTCTCTGAGTGATATGTGCGGATATTTACTCGGGGTCGGAGTAGTATAAGTAAGCTACAATAAGCAATTGCTGGCTGCTATGGTCGGAAGGGAGGAGTTCATTTACCTATATCTCTCTTTAGTAATCTACAACAGACAGCATTTGCTATACAATTCTATTTTGCTATTTATTATAAAATTGTATTTTTTAGTTCTTTTGCTTCCCCAAATCAAAATTACGATTGCGATCAACGGAAATTGGAATTGAAAATTGTCTTCGTAAAAAATAGCTATTGGCTTCAATATTTTGTGCTTTCTTAAAATGCAATTAGGGGTGTCGGAAGTAGTGCCATTTTTGGAAAACTACTTCAGTTGATTTTGTAATTTTAACAACGCAGGTACTCCGCAATTTGTCTGCCTTTCCTAATCTATCTAATACCAAAAATTTTCACAATAACTTTTCAATCAACCCAAAAATTTTTCAAAAGGACTTTTAATTGAAGTCCTTTTTTTCTTTTGCTTCTGCCTCTATATTACTTAACTCATCTTTCTAATTTTGTTTTTTCATTATTTTGTTTCTGCTCCTTTACATTTACTATTTTGTGTTACAAGTTTTCTTTTTGTTTTACAATTCATTTCATTTTTATTATTATTCCTATTCGTTCTTCCTTTTATTTTTTTTTGTTTTTTAACTCTTATTTATTATATTATACAGTTATTCTTTACGAGATATAATCACTTCTATTATATAATATAAAATATAATAGAGAAAAAAATTTAATAGTATAAAAATATACAAGCATATATGATGCGATAGTATAACAGAATTATAACAGAAATAACAAAAACAAAACAAAGAAAACACAAAAACCTAGTGGAAAACTCTACTAAAGCCGTCTCTTAATTAAATTTTATGAATGTGAACGACTATTGTCATATGTCAGAAAATAAGGATTCTCTTTAGTTGGACATAAAAATTTTTTATGTGGCGATGACCATGTCAACTCCTTTTCACCATCTGCTTGAAGTAAACTATTCCAAAGTGTTGTACCAACCCATCTAAAACAAAAAAACAAAAATAACAACAGAAAAAATATATGAGTGAATATTATAACAGTTGATAGTACAAAAAATATAAAAAGAGAAAATGAAATTATGTAATTTTTATAAAAAAAAAAAAAAAAACACAAAATGGAGAAAAGAAAATTGTTATTTTTTATATTTTCACATTCTACTACAATATAGAATATAAGAATTAAATGTTAAGAGGATTAGTCAATATAATAATAATATTCAAATAAAATTATTATTGCATAATAATACTTGTATAACAGTTATATATAACAATTACAAGGTATTTTATGAAACGGAAAACATTATAATAAAAATTAAAAATAACAAAAGTTATGAGAAAGGAAAAAAAAATTTTGTAATAATAGTAAAATTTAATTAAAAAATTCCTTGAACTTGACTTGATTACAAAGTATTTGGAATGGAATAGAGTTGGAAAATATTTTTCTCAGAAATCACGTAGAAATATTACAAAAGATTTTTTTCAAATTTATGGAAATTTTTAATTTTTATTTAATGTAGAAGTTTTAAATGCTCAAATTTTAATTGGTTTTCTTTGGTTGAAAAGTATCATGACTTGAGGGAGAATCCCGCTGGAGCTCATTAAAAATTGAGTTTAGTAATAATTACAGGTCATATGTTAATTGAGTATGTGGAAGGGAACGAAAATCTACTGGTGTAAACTTAATGAGCATACTGAAATCTGAATCAGGGTGAGTTCCTTGCTTTAAACATAAAATTTTAAATAAAATTTAACTTGTAATAGCCAAGCCTAGTCAAGCTATATGAGAAAAGCGAATTAGCTTTTTTTATATGTTTTATTCATATACTTGAAGATTGTATATTTAACAGATGGGATAACAGAGATGGGATAGTTTCCCCACACTAGACGTGGAACACACTCCTACACAACTCCTCGAAACCTACTTCCGTGATACATTCGAGTAATATCAAAGGTCCGGCAGACCGTAGCTATGCCGGATTAGTACGTATTCTCCTTCCCAGTATTTCCTTTCTCCTGAATTTGAGGCCCCACAATCCTCTAAAAAAGAACTAAATTTTTTTTTAACCATGTAACATGCAAACCGGTATATCTTAATTTCAGTCATGCTTTATTAAAACTTGAATTTCCGAGTAAACAGAAATAACAGCCACTTTCAGTCTAGCATTAGTTTTTAGTTTTCCTTATTAACCCAAACGAATTTCATTACATCCAAAACAGTTTATTAATAAAACAGGTAATCTAGTTATGAACGGTTTACGAAACTCACAATACCTATTAAACATTTTCATAAATTTACTTTTTTCTAGAAAAAGGACATCTTTTGTAATAACAGGACTTTAAAATAAATTTTTTAATTGTTAAAAGTAATGAAGTGTGAGCGAGAAAAAAAAAATTGTGAATAGAGGGTTTTATTCTTTCACAGAAAATTAAGCAATTACAAAAATTCTACAAAATAGGATGAAAATTACATCAAAACATGAAAAAGGATTAAAAAAAAGGGATATATGGTAGCTGTGCAGAAAAAAAGATGTGGTAGGTTATGAAAATTCTAAAGGACATTACAAAAAAATTATTATTTTCTTTAACTTTTTTAATAAAAATATTTTTTAATATAATTAAAGTTAAATTTTCTGAGAAACTAAATTTGAGTTCGAAAAAGAATGAACATTGTGTAAGGTCATTTTAATTTGAAATGAAAAAAGTTACCATGAGCATAAATTAAATTATATTTTATGATTTTACCCAAGACCAGGTCATCTTTACATAAAATAAAGTCGTGTATTTTAGTAAAAGTATTAAGACTTTGTGTGTTGGTTACTAGTGGGAGAGATTTAAAGTCACAATAATAAAAATTGATTTTAGTTTAATTTGCAGTGAAAGAGATTAGTAGCATTGGAGTTAGTTTTGTTCCATTTTCTGCTGTCCCTTTATTCAGAGAGAGAAAGATGTGCATTCTGCTCTTCAACTGAGAAATATTCAACAACAACAACGCTTTCTAAAATTTTTTGGATATTTTAATATTCATATGGCATATTTATATAAGAATCGAATTCCAAATATTTATAATTCGATTCGAACTGAAACCCTTTTGCGGAATGTGACCACACATTGTTCGTTGGAAATCAAAACGGGAACAGGAAAAAGGGCGCGATCAAAACGCTGGAAAAGTCTTCCGCAGTTACGACAGACTAAGCAGTTTGTGGTAGATCACGACTAGAAACAATTTAAGAAGGTTATAGGGTTGGGTAAGAATCAGGTGAGAACCTCAGTAGGCTGGATCAGGAAAGTGAAGACATTTGGAAATATTGTGAAGAGGAGGCTTTCGCTCATAGGAGTACGGAATAACTGGGAACTATGCTCTCACGGCAGCGGATTTGTGGTATTTCGGGTCTCACACTGTGCTCGTATTGACGAGGAGAGTGGAACGCCAGCAAGTGTTTTAGGGCATTCTCCGTATTCAGGGGCGGGTAGCACAATAGACACGACCGCGATGCCTTGTTACCCCGGATGTAGAAATCTACAGATCTACTTCTTCTTAGTCAGTATTTCAACTCAAAAAATAAGTTAAAATTGGTATTAAATATAAGAAAATATTTTCACTTTCATAATAAACAAAAGTTTTCCTAAATATTTTTTGTTTCCTGACACCTTCCTTAAATATAAATTTTTAAAAAGGAATCTTATTAATTGATATTTTCTTTCAACACAAACTTACACATCGAATTTTCAGAATTATTTATTGTTTTACATTAGGCACTGTTATACATATTCTGTTATACATATACAAATATTATAGAAATTAATCATGCAAACCGAAAATCTTATATAAAAAAAATCTACTATGCTACACGATATAACCTTAAAGCAAATTTTTAAAATGAAACCTATATACCTATTCATTATCTATTATTAATTCCAAAAAGTAACAACAGCAAAAAAAAGCAAAAAAATTGAAAATGATAGCACGCACTTAAACAATATATTCGATAAAATATCTAAGAGGGAAGTAATAGAATAATTCTTAGGGTGTCAGACAATATCAGCATTCCTTTTTTAAAAGAATATTTGCAATATCCTATATATAGTATAAGTCCCTAAAGTCTTAAAAACATATAAGAGATGTTAATATGGAAGAAGTAGAAAAAAAACAAAGGCAAAAGAAAATCTAAATTGGAGATCAATAATAAATTACAAAATTGGTCAATGAACCAAAACTGAAAATGAATTGAAATCTATAAAACAAGAAAAAATATATAGGAGATAATAAGCTTTTTAAAGATTGTACAGAACAAAAAAAAATACAATTTCTATGATATTAATTTTGAAAATGAAATCTAATCCTCCTAACACCGAAGATAAAACAATTTTCTAAAAATGTATTTGGTTCTAAACACTAGATAATGAAATATAATCAAACATGGCAATTACGTTTATCATACTCTCAAACATATTGTGCATTCGCATCATGTCTCACAATCATATTTGAGTATGAATATGTTGTTTTACAGATGATTATTGCTTGCACTAATTTTTGTTAATAAATCTAAAATTAAGTCTAAAACTGACTGCCAGAACGTGAAAAGTTTAATTATATTGATATTTAAATGAAAAATATTAGGTTCACCATTGATGCAACTTGCAACATTATCAAACTTTTAAATCAAACTTGATACAACTTAATCAATTTTATAGTTTGATAACTTAAGCAATCTTAGAGATAGCTCTGACAGATATGCAATATTTAGTTTTGTAATTACTGCTTGATTACTACTTGAAAGTCGTTGCGCGTACATCTAAGTAACTGAACTGTTGCGTCAATTCAAATCAAACTGTTTGATTGCTTGTGTGCAATACAAACAAACAATCATACAGTTTCAAAACTAAAACTTGCATGTTTGCTTGGGTCCTTATAGTTTGATCTTATGTTTGATTACTCCAATTACAAATTTTCTAATTTTGAAATCAAAATAATTTCAGCTATGTGTATAACACATACATTATCAAACTTGTATTAATAAAACCCATTTATACAATAAAAACCACAAAAATCGAATAAATAAATTTTAAGGAGTTTGAAAAACTCCTCACTATAAATTAGAAAAAGAGTATAAAAAAAAATATTTTTGTATGGTAAAAGAAAATGAAAACTAATAAATTTTCATATATAATGACACAAAATACAAGTAAACACCCACATGTTATATGCAAAAACTTTAATGTAAACTACACAAAAAACATATTTTTACACAAACATTCTTATATACTTGTACTAAAGTAAGTGTATGTATAAAGTAAACATAAAATCTTTGTGCTATTTGCCTTGAAAATAAGTCAAGGATATGAAATTGTATAGGAGTAGCTATATTGAAAAATTCCAATAATTTAACACTTAAATTTAGTTTGAAATTTTCATTAAGCCAATAAATATTTTTGAAAATCCTTAATGAAATATCACTACTACATTATTTTAAATGTTTTATCGACAAGGAAGGAGAATAACAATCTTCTCTATGTTAGTAAAAAATATGGAATATATTTGTATATTTTTTCATCTCTCCTAAGTAAATTTAGTTTACTATCATGATTTCTAATTGGAAATATACATATTTGGAATGATATTGAAAATTTAGTATTTGTATGACCTAGATCGGGCGCCACTCCAATTAATTGCATTTTATTTTCGTAAACAACAAAATATGAAGGTATGCTTCTGTTTTTTCTTCTTTTGTTCCCTGAAAATCTTTACATAGAGTAAAGTTTCGATTTAATATTAGAAGTAGGATATGCGATTTCGTTTGATTATCTGCTCATGCGACCTAGATTGGGCGCCAGTTCAAAAAGTTGCATTCCGGTGCCTATATTCAATGAAATAAGCAGGTCGTTAGGGTTTTTTTCAATAGTGCGAAACAAAGCGTTTCCGCTTAGTTCCAGAAGGTTCTGTTTTCAGTAAAAATCACTTCCAGATATAACGAGATTGGTTAATTATGTTGCATGTTTACGGATCACCATAACGAGGACTTGATGCTTAGTGCTTGTTGCACCAGCCTTGTTTATCCAAAATAGAAAATTTGCTTAAAAACTATCAAATTGTTAGCAAAATTACGATATTCTGAATTCGTAGATATAGATAACGTATATCTATAAAATGTAGTAGGATATTTTTAAAATTAGCAAAAATATTTTACTAATTTAAATCCTTTTACATAGTATAACGCATGTATATATGTAATATATAATCTCCATTTCAATGTAATAGAATCCTTAAATTTTTAGAATACATTTGGGAAAATGCACAATTGAAACCATTCGATTAGACGATAAAGGATCTCTGCAATAATAATAATGGTAATATTTAGATACCAATACAGCAGTTTATCATTAGATTATTTTATTTGTATTTTATAGTTGTTTTTGTCGACATGGTTAAAATAAAATTTATGTTTTAATTTTAAAAGCTTTGAAAACAAAAAAAAATTAAAATGTAAAATAAAAAGTGAAAATTTTATTTTGGCAAATGAAATCAAGTGCAAGAGCATATTATAATCCAATGTGTAAGCATAGATTTTAATATTGAAATAAAGTGAAAAACTTTGTAGTTATTCCCTATTGGTGATAAATAGAGTTGAATTGTTAAAAGATATGGAGAAATCATGTGAGGATTCATAAGAGTTTCCTAAAGGGACACTGCAGGCTTAAGAAATACCTAAGCAAATTTGGCTTAGAGGCTGACGGTTCTTGTAACTACTGTGGGGAAGGGGAAGAGACCTCGATACACCTTCTCAATGAGTGTGGAGTGCTGATGCATAAGAGAAGGAAGATTTTGCGGGACCCTCACTGGTGGCCATGTCGTTGTGAGATATTTCCCCGCAAAAGTTGCCGGGATTCGTCAAATATATTGGTCATGAGGGACTGCTCTAAGAAAGACACTGGGCAATCGTGTGGGTGGAAGGGCGAGAGTTGGTAAAGTAGATCTTCTAGGTCGCGGTGTATCAACGCCTTAATCTGTAATCTACAACCGTAATATGAAATTTTGGACAAAAAGCGATCTAGATTTTGGATAAATAACAGATATTTCCGATGAAATTTATACAGTAGTAAATATTGCAATATCAGCCATCATCACAAAGCAGAACATTTTTACAGCCACTTTATATTTTTTATTTAGCTTTTCTTTTTAGCTTTTATTGTACCAACATTTTCAAAACATTGAACATTACTTACGCGTTTCCTTTTTGGCTGATGTGAAAACAATCATAAGCCAAAAGTGTATAATCTGGTTTTCCATTATCAGCCATCATCTAAAAATAAAAAGAACAAAGAATTACACAAATTATAAAAGAAAAAAAAAGTCTCTAATTAAGTTCATATTTTATGGTTTGTTAGCAAATTGTAAGTACCAGGATATTTTTATACTTTACAGACAAAAAAGAAATTGAAAAAAAAAAAAATTAATATTTTAATGCAATAATTTTAGGCGACAAACAGCTAGTAGACATTTCATTAAAAATTATGTGTCTAGATTGCTAATTTTAAAAGTTTTTGGATGACAATATTGGCTTGTTATAATTAAATTTAACACTATAGATATTTTGCTTGTTACGGCTCGTAATTTCTTACTGAAATCTTTTTGGACGGCAATAAAAGCTTTTTGGCATTGAAATTGAAAAGTGATAATTAGAAAAAATAAAATAATTAAGCATTGGCAAAGAAGATTTATTGCTTGAATAAATCAATTTTGTGATAAAACGTCTTCGAAGAAGACCTTCATAAATTCAAAAAATTTGGTTCCATGTTATCAAATAACTGACACACATTAAGATATGCGAAAATTTTTTATTAACTTACCGATAAATTCCTCGAAAATGGTTGAAAAACAACAGCAAATTCTGTTAAATTACGGAACTCTTGTAATTTTGTCACTTCCTCCTCTACTTGGGAGAATTTTTCATGAATTCGTTCATATCTGAAAAAGAATATTATAAATATTATACTAAAATAATCATTCACAAGAAGAAGGTAAAGAAGAAGGTCTGCCAAATAAGAGGCTATTGACGGGGAATGCTCTAATGAAAAAACATCTGCATATTATAGCAAACTTAAATACCATTGAGTAGGACTCTGAGTGCAGAAAACGTGACATAAATTCGCGCTTTATGCACTTCTAACCCTTTGGCTGGAAAAATGTTTCTGCACTTGAAATATATGCGGATGCAATTATTTTGATTCCTTGAATGTGTTGTATTTCATTCATTGGGCAGTATCTTTAAGATTGCTCAACGTGTTGCTCAACGTAGCAAAGTAATTGTGTTTATTATTGGAAATTATTACAACAGATTAGAAAGGCAGACGACCATACCCCATAGGCACCTGTTCGCAATGAGCAATACTACTATGAACAATCTGAAGTCACTTACAAGCTATTTAAATGAGTGAATTTTCGTTATACCCTATTTATTCCTTTGACTTAATAATTTTCGGTATTGAACCCAATGTCTTCGGTCATTATCCACTGCCTCTATTGAATAGCTTATGCTCCCCGAACCCATGGTATGGTCATCGAAAACAATGTCATTAAAATTACTAAAATTTTTATATAAAATTAATCATTCAAAATCTCCAATTTTATAAACTCAAATTTTTTTCTTAAGATTTAACATTCTTAATAAGGTGGCCATATTTCAAATTAAGAACTTGATCAATGCCTATGATTTCCCCACCCATTCATTTGACTTTTTCAATTTTAATTTAAAAGTTACATTAATCTTCTAATCTTTTAGTTTTTTTTTATATATTTTTATATTATGTAATAAAATCTGTTCTACCCTTATACAGTTATTTAATATTATGCTTTAATGTGTCTCCTATGTAGGTTACCATTATTTTATTCATGAATAAAATCCGAAACCATATTTTTTCTACAAAAAATCATTCTCACACAATTATTTTTCGTCTTCAGAATAAGAAGACCAAAAAAAAAGAAGAATCCATATAATTTGGCAGTATCTTATCCTTCATGGCTTCTTTTTCTCCTTTTTTTGTGCTTTTTTAATGTCATAAATCTAAGGGTGTGATCCAATACCGGAAATTAGATTTTCATGACATAAAACAAAAAGAATAACGTAATAGAAAAAAAAAGTTTTATAGATTGTTTTTTTTTCCTTCTTCATTTTTAGGTTTTGAATTAATATACAAGGTGTTCGGTGGTACTCCAGCCTCAGGGTGATAGAATGGTTCCAGAAGAACATAAACTAAGAGAAGGCTTTCTCTTTTTTCCGAAAAGAAGCTCTTTCGAATCGTAAACCTTTTATCTCCGTTTATGGTATTCTAAATTGCCCTTTCTTAAAAGCGTCCAACTTTTATATTTTTCTGTATAACTAAGAAAATATGACAGCCGCAATAAACTTTGTTTAAGAGACATGTTGTATAGGAATAGCACAGGGTCTCGGACAGCTTGTTATATATATATGAATGCATCTAAATATTCATAACACTGTAATAATATTATAAGAGTTCTGGAATTCATATAACCATGTTAAAACAATATTATACATTCTAATATTTCTTATTGCAAGGATATTATTATAAGGAGGCAATTTATCATCATTGTTTCCAGATGTGTTGATGATGATGATGGAAGCAAATTGAATGTAACATGTCTCAGAACACATCACTAACACAAAAGTAGCAAAAACAAAAAAAAGAAAAAAAAAGCAGAAGATTGTTAAAGACTTTCTGCGGTTTAAGAGTGATGAGGAAATTCTGATTGATGAAATTGTTTCAACTTATATTTTCTATAGAGATAGAACTCTATAATACTTTCATCTTCTGCTTTTTTTTCGATATAGATTAAGATTGTAAATTATTATAAGAAGTAAAAAAAAAAAATTGAAATGTGTGTAGGTGCATTTGTTCAGTTTTTTGTTATCTATATTCTATCGTGTATGGTAGAGGAGGTGATCAACCATATAACATTAAATTAAATAAAAAAGAGCAAAAAAAACCATATGTGGTTTATAAGATATTTTGTTAATATAATTAGGTCAATATAACCGGAAATTATAGTATTTTTTACAAGATTTAAGATCTACTCCTTTTTATTTTAAATGGCAAAACATTAATTTTTCCAATACTATAAATTGTTTTAAGAATTTTCCATGAAAATGTGCTTTAATTATAGAGCAATCAATTAAGATGCGATAAGTGTTTGCATCCGAAACATCAACGTACAGATTGACATTGTGAAAATCACTGTTTAGAAGAAATAGAGGCGGAAACAACTTGGTTTGAATTCCAAAATATGCCGCGATTTCAAAATGATTGAACTTACGAAGAGGAGAAACTTCAGGGAAAGCCTACGAGTCAACAAAAGAATGCGGATTGAAGAGTTGTGTCACAAAAGTTGCATGCTTTTTATGTGAGATTGTTATAAGAACTATGAATGAATATCGTCGGAATGGAACGCTTGTGAGTGAAGCCGTTCCCTTAGTTATAGAAGGGCTCATAGCTAGAATATTTTATCGGATGATTTAGTCAGACAAATGATTTTCTATCGGGTGATACAGCCCCATAACCTTATAGGTATTCGGGGTATCATAACCGAACTCAACGTTTACAAAAACATTTGACTGCCTTCTTCAAATCGAAATCTTAAATTTTATTTATTCTTTCATGAAAAAATTAATAATAAAAATTTTTAATTTCTTACCTTTCTAATGTTTTTTGATCCTGTTTAAAAAGATTTCCCACAAAACATGAACATTCCAAATGATTAATTGTTTTACATATTTTTGAATTTGTTTTCAATAGAACAACCTTATGTGGTGGGGGTTCTGTTACCACATTCACAAATGTCCTTTAAATAAAAATTAAAATAAAATATTTACATTAATGTTGAGCTTGTGATTTTTGAGGATTTTAACACTTAAAACTGAAATGAAAGCAAAAACCCTTTTTAAACATATAAGGTAAATGTAGACGTTTGGGGGTATTTGTTATGTATAAAAAATTTCAGCAAATTATAAAGTTACAAATTAAAAGTTAATTGTAATAATAAAATATTTTAAAATGGTAGCTTTTCATATGGTAGACTTTTAAGAATAAATAACAAAGACTGCAAAAACCCTAGAATAAAAGGCAATTAATCAAAAAATTTTTTTTAGATATTTTTTATTTTTTACATACTATACTTGTATTTTACCACATTTTAATTTCAAATTTTTATACAAAATTATTTCATGAATTCAATTAATTTTAAGATATTGGTTTAGAATTTCATACAAATTATTATAAAATATTTTATTTAAAAGTAATTATTGCAAGTAGAGCTTTCAAAAATATGCATTCATACATGCGTTGACATCACCAGAGACAATAAATCATTGCCAGACGCCTCAAGTCTAACCTTTCCTACAAATCATATTCGACGCAGAGTCAATGTAATTCAATACAGAATGAATATAAATTTACTTTTATACTTATTTTTTTGTAATAATACTCGTAACATTTTCGGAAGTAATTTTAGAATCTATTAGAAGTACCAACCTAAGATATACAATAATCAAATTTTGTATATGCAAATAGAGTATCTAATTATGGGGCAAACATTTTCATAAAAAGATATTAAGATTGTAACGTATTTACGATAACGTGTCATGCAATTTTGAATCCAAATACATGCTATACCAAATAAAAATTAGGTGAATTCTCAGAATGCTCACAGGTCTCCTAACAGGAGATTTTGATGCACCTTCGGCGAGTGTGGGGCGTTGATGCAAGGTAGAAGGGAATTCGTTTCAGTAAAAGAGCTGCGAGAAGTCGATCTTATTAAAAAGTCGATCTTAATAAAGGAACGCTCTAGACGTGATGAGTGAAAGGAGGGGCACAGTAGATCGCGATGATTTATTACTTTATGCCTACTCTATTCCAATCTAATCTCATAGAATCAACAAGTCGATATTTTACGATAATTAAATAGTTGTTGTTTATTTATATTCTTTTCTTTTCGCACTTATAGCTGTAAATTACTGTTGAGTTTTTGACACGGCCAAATTTCTTTGCATTATATGCCTCTGTCGATTCCCCTTATTTAAAATATTTTCAATTCCCAAAATTTGTATTTGCAATTTCGTTTTTTTCTTTTATAAATTTTTTATTATACTTCATGTCATTACTCTTTTGGCAACGTTCAACCAAATTGGCCAAAAAACAAAGAAAAATTTAGAAAATTTAAAATCTGCTTGTTACTTCTACTTTGACATTAAAATTAATCTACTTTCTAAGCATTATACAAGTATCAAATTTCTCGAAGCAGCCGTCTTTTTCCCAAAAATAAAAAAAAACTTTCAATTTAACCCTTATTAACCGCATTACCAAAGAACAGTGAAAAACATACTTACAAATTTAAAAAAAAAAACAAAAAACTGTTAAAACCAATTTTCAGAAATTTCATATTCCATAAAATTTATTGTTAAAAAGTCTAATGTATGTGTATATTTATAAATAATTGCATTTCTTGACAATTACAGTTATTTGGTTCCACCAATATACAAAAACCCCCATTGCAAATTGAATTTAGTATTTAGAATATGAGAAAGAGAGAGACAGAAAACATCATTTTAGATTTTTAAATAGGGAGAAAATTATCTTCTATGGCAAACAATACAATGTATATAACGTGTATTTAGAGATAAAATGAGATAAAAAATATGCACATACTCGTACACACATTCAAATTGTAGTCTTAAATTTAGTATTTAATTTTTCCTTTCGTTTCCCTTAATTTACATTCAAAATTTTACTTCGTTTTCGGTTTATAATTTTATTCTCTTATTTTTGTTTTTTTATAATATAAATGTGCATCAAATGATCTATGAAAATAGAATTGAAATGAATAGAAAAAAAATCTGATGTGGTCAGCACATAACCGACCGCATTGTGTATTGTCTAGTTAAATGAAAGTGTTACAGAATATTATAAAAATGTCTGTTAAATAATTCTTTCCAATTTTTAGGACATTAGTAAGCTTATAGTTAACATACTTAGAAAAATGTAAATTTGGCTCTTAGTAGAGTTTCGCTTTGTGCTACCCGAATTCCCTGAAATGCTCGCCAGTTAGTTTCGGTGACAACCAGAACTCAAATATCAAATTTCAAGAAATTCCATCAATTTGTTCTGTGGATATGGTGAAAAATATAAAATCGGCCCGCAAATCAGTTCTCGAGCCCTGATCTTTCCAAAAAAGTTATATGTTCATTGCTTTAATATGAGGAATTCATATATTAAATTTCAATGAAATCGGTTGATTATTTCTCTTTATATACACAAAAATGTATGTTTGGCCCGTAGTAAACGTCTAGTTGCCGATGCCTGATCTTTCCAAAAAATTTACATGTTCATTGTTTTAATACGGGGAATTCACATATTAAATTTCAATGAAATCGGTTGATTATTTCTACTTATATACACAAAAATGTATATTTGGCCCGTAGTAAACGCCCAGTTGCCGATGCCTGATTTGTTCCAAAAGCTAGGAATTTTTACGGACGGTCAAACAAAGCTTATATATGAAATTTCAAGTAAATCGGTTGAATATTTTCTTCAAAATGGTGAAAAATGTGAAATCGGCCCGCAAATCAGTTTTCGAGCCCTGATCTTTCCAAAAAATTTATATGTTCATAGTTTTCATACGAGGAATTTATATATTAAATTTCAATGAAATCGGTTGATTATTTCTCTTTATATACACAAAAATGTATATTTGGCCCGTAGTAAACGTCCAGTTGCTGACGCCTGATTTCTTCCAAAAGTTAGGAATTTTTGCGTATGATCGAGCAAATCTTATATATAAAATTTCAAGTAAATCGGTTGAATATTTTCTTCAAAATGTTCAAAAATGTAAAACAGGCCCGCTAAAAAGTGCAGTTCCCGAGGCCTGATATATACCAAAAGTTGATCGATCCGTGCCATGGTGGAAACAAACTTACATATAAAATTTCATCAAAATCGGTTCAGCAGAACTTGAGATACACGCGTGCACACACAGACCGACAGACCGACAGACCGACAGACCGACAGACCGACAGACCGACGGACCGACAGGTTGCTAAAAATAGTTTATTTACACTTCCCTACTATGGAGAAGTACGTTCCCACCGAAAACTCGATATGCAAAATTTGTTGCCATCACATAACCTACCTATTGTTTACACAATACGGTCGGTAAAAAGTAACTCAAAATTGAAAATAATAAACAGCAAAATAAGGAAAGAGCAAAAAAAAAATAAAAGTAAAAGAAACTGACAACCTAGAATTTTAATCGTACACCTGTCATTCAAAGAGAGGATATTTTGAAAAATGATATTTTTTTCGTTAACTTTCATTGTATGTAGAAAATGGTCTGCGATGCTTACACAGAACTTGAAATGTCAGATAACACTGTTGTATATATATAGAAAACGAACACAAACAATAAAAGTTTAAAGGAAAAGAATAACAATTTATAAACAACCCCAGAAGATTCAAAATGAATTCTCACTCGCTTAGACATAGACCACATTATAGAAAAGACAACACAAGTGAATGAGCATTCAAAGTATAAGAAGAAGGAATTTCAGTACAAAACATTATTTTTAACTTAACGTCGTCATTGCATTATGAACAAATACTCTAAAAAGAGAGAAAGAAAAAAAAAACAACATGAAATTGAAAAAGAAATAGTAACCGTTACTTTCTACATTTTTATAATTCATCATAACGGTAATAAACAATTACAATATTATTTCTTATTGCATATAGAAAAATTTTCCAAATAATAAACAATAATTTTTGTGATATCAAAGATTCACCAACCGAATTTTAATAATTTGTTTTTGAATTTCATTTTCAATTGCATACTGCAATTCAATGATCTTTTCTGCGATTTTTATATTAAACCGTATGTAATTCACGATTGCCGTCCTATCGCAAGTAAACAAGACTTCTTTTCCTCAATAAGGATAGCCGTACTAGGTGGCTAACAGTTTAATCTAACTAGATGGAGCTTGAGATCATTTTGACTAGTATAATCGAATATGAATACTCTTATCGAATAGTGCATGACCTTAAAATTAAACTTGTATCGAAATTCTTCCTATTTTTGACAATTAATTTTCAATACAAAATTTTTCAATACAAAAATAAATTCATAAATATTATTGCTTTTATAATTTGAATCACAAAATTTTGCATAAATACATAAAAAATGAGTCATGAAAAACGAATTCTTATTTACTGTGACATTGAGAAGAGAAAATGTACATGTCACTAACAAAAACGTAATATAAAACAACCAAATTACACCCCACAAAAATGACGTTTTATAAGAGATGATGAGAGATAAAATACAACTGATAAAATGCAACTGATACAATACTGACTAACGGTTATAATAACAATAATGATGAAATAATAAAACATATAAGAGAAATCATAGAAAGAAAAAAAAAATAAATAAATAACTGTTAGTTTACAACTGTCACATATTTTTATATCAATCAATCAAAGTTCTCTCTTAGCATTATATCATTGTGTTGTGGGATGCATGTTTCAAATTGTGGCTGTATGAAAATTAAAATAACCGTTGTTCTATTTTTTTGTTTTATTTTTTTTTATAAAATATTTTATTGTTGTTACGGTCGGCTAATGAGCTTCTCATGACAGGATAACTGTGCGATATATAATAGAAATGTTTTTTTTTTGTGTACAACAACCTGAATAGCAGAAGTCTTATATTTATTATCAAGACACTTTCAATTTCCTTAGCTGTCAACTAAATTTTTTTTTTTTGTTTTTCCTGTTTATAATGTCATTCTTATT